TGACAAATATTTTTAATTAGTAAAAAAAGGGGACAAAATTTAAATCCGTTGTAACAAGAAATCCGCTGTGACGAGGTTTGACTGTATTCCATTTATTAAATTATTAAATTGATCTTATGTTAAAAGATCTCAAACAAAATAATATTTTTTTTAAACCAATTATTTGATAAATCAGCTTTAAAATATGATAATCTTGTTTTAGAATGAGCTTTAAAAGTTTTAATATCTTCATACACTCCAACTCTAATTCCTACATCATAAAGCCTGGTTCATTCAATAACTTTGCTAAATCATTACAAGTTCACTAGAATGTTTTAATCATTTTTGGTATTAATTAGGCTGTTAAATAATAAATTATCTAATGATGAAAAGTAAGTTGACATGTTTTTTTTTATTGTCAACAACAATTACAGGACCACCATGGAATCCACTAATACATTTTTGTAAATACTTCTTCCTAAAACAGAAAAATTCACCATCAATCAATCACGTAGAAAGGAAGGGACAGATCCCTTAATGCGCCGATTAGGGGAATGTCACATGATTCGGAGGGTCAACCCCATTTTAGAACAATTAATTTTAGTGTTAGTGGAGATCAAATCACAAAGATGAATTTTGATAAAATTCATCAAGAAATTGATAATTTAATAAAAAACAAAGAAACTACATTATCAAACTCAATAAAACAGTCACTTGAAATAATAGAAGAGTCATTGAATAAATATGGGTAAGTGTCAGATACTGCTGTCATTTTCTCCCTTTTAATTAATTAAAATTTTTTTTGTTTTAATATTTTTTTATTAGTCCTGAAAGTTTAAGTATTTCTTATAATGGAGGAAAAGATAGTGTTGTATTATTAAATTTGTTAGCAATGGTGTTTAATAAACATTATATAACAAAAAAAGGATCTTTAGAAATGATGCCTAAAATACAAGCATTATATATTAAACATTCAAAACCATTTCCTGAAGTTGAAGAATTTATAGAAGAAAGTATCAAACGTTATAATTTAGACTTGGTAATAATAGAAGAGTCAATGAAAAAGGCATTGGAAAAATATTCTGAATTAAAACCAGAAGTTAAAGGAATATTAATTGGTGTAAGAAGAAATGATCCACATGGAGGTAAATTTAATTAATTCATGCACCTAAATTTATAAAATCACTCGATAAATATTATTTAATCATTTATTTATTTAACCATTTAGATAAGTTATCTAAATTCATTCCAACTGATCCAGGTTGGCCTCCATTTATGCGAGTCCATCCAATATTAGATTGGAGTTATGTGGAGATATGGGAATTTTTAAGAACATTAAATATTCCATATTGTAAATTATATAATTTGGGGTAAGTTATATTAAACATAATATTAAATGTTAATTTGATTATTTAATTAATTCTTCTTTGTCTTATTTTCTTTATTATTAGGTATACTTCTCTTGGTGGAATTAATAATACATTTCCCAATCCAATTCTAACAAATCCATTGAAATCTTGTGGATTTGATCCTGCTTGGATGTTAACTGATGAAAGTAAAGAAAGATTTGGCAGAGAAAAATAATAAATATAATATAATTAATTATTATCATAAATATTATTATCATAAAAATAAAACTATTTTATTTTATTTTTTTGTTTTTATTTTGTGTACAATGCTAATATATCATTATTATCAATTAATTTATCAGAATTATTATTTAATTTAGATTTTTTAGATTTTATTATTGAAGTTCTACTATCTTCATCTTCATCATCTTCATCAGCACCTTTATTACTATGAACTTTTTTATTATTATTAGATTTATATAATGCCTTTTTTATTATTTTATAATCATCATCTCGTTTATCATCATCATCATTATTATCATTTGTTAATTTACGTTATAATTTTAATTCTGAAACTAATTTATCTTTCTTAGTTATATTTAATCCAATCCTAGTATAAAAAAAAATAATTACTTGTATTTAGGAAAATGGAAAAAAAAACTTAATTTAATAAAAAATCAATTATATGGTTGTTTCTTTACTTTGAAGTATATCAATTTTGAATTTGTTTTGTTAATTCTAATTGTCTTTTTATTTCTTCTTGTTCTTTTCCTCTTCAATTGGATCTACTGGTGTTAACCATGAATCTACTAATGATGATATTTCTCCAAATGATATATCTAGTTTTGTTCTTATAACTTCTAATCCTTCAAATCAATTCTTTTTTGGATTCAAATTTGAATTTGACATTTATTATTATTATTGTGAAAATATAATATTTACTAGAAATTATCTGATGATTGGAAATACAATACTCGTAACCAATTAAAAAGAATTTTTACCCATATTTGATTGGCTAATTCCACATACAACGTTACTAAATCACATTAAATAATAACATTACCATTAGCACCACAAAAATCAGGGTCCAGATATGGGAAAAAAAATTAAAATCTTTTTATTATCATCTTTATAATAATCTTGCAATTAAAGAACAAGAAGTACTTTGTAATGAATTAGACAAGTTAAGGGTAGAACTAATGGCTGCACATTCAAGGAACAATCTTATAATTTATTCAAATATGAAACCATTAACTGTAGGGGGAAACCAATATACATAATAAGTTCAGATGCCAGTGACCACGAGAATCCTAATTTAATGAAATTTTGAAGAAATAGATATTTTTTCTATTGGATTATTAAATCAACCAGGAACTATAAACTAGGAAGAATTACAAAATTAATTATGAATCAAATATTTCTTCTTAAAACATTAATTAAAAAAAATATAAACATTATTTATTATGCCACAAGAAATTTCTAAGGGAATCCCATTATCAGAGTCCAAGTACAAATATTGCATATATGATTGCAACACATCATGATCATGATGAAACAACTACATTACAATTCCCCATACTAAAGCTGCAAATATAGAAATGTATTTGTATTTATAATATCTACCCAAACATGGTATATTCATCAGTTCTTTACCAATAATAAGTTTGTATATTATTGTTTATACATTGTAATAAAAAGAGCTAAATTTTTGGAATGTTGTTTTGTTGCTTTAAATTTATCCTTTAAATTAGATATTTGTATATAATACCTGATTATATGAAATATTAAAGTCATCACAAGAGTGTGAGGAAATCCAACTTTTACTTCATAAATAGTTCCATTACAAAATCTTTTAACAATAGTAATTTTTCTATCAACTTTTAAAAATGGTTTTTTTTGGATAATTTTATAAAAAAACCATCTTCATATAAAGAGAAAAAATAAGAAAACTTGCATACATATTTATATATTGTTAATTTATATCCATAATATTTATTAATTAACAATGGTTTATTTATTTATGTACTTACTACTGATTTACTGATCATATCCATACATACTAGTGAAAACAATTAATTTCTCTCTCTCCAAAGCATATTTCTTTCCATATATTCTTCAATAATTAAAAATACAACATAAAAGTGTATGTCTCAGCCTTTATCAAAAGTTCCAGCTTGAATAAGTTTGATCTGAAAAAAAATGAGACAAAAACACACCTTTTCAAAAACTATCATTTATATAATTTTTATTTAAAGATGGTTCTTTGGTTTAATCTATGTCTGGCCTTACGGAAATCATCAACTCTCTTATGATTTCATAGGTTTCAGACAAAATTTTTTTAAAAGTCCGTGTAACAAACAATAATGGGTTGTTTTAATAGCAGGACCTCGGAATAATCTTAGTATATGGTACATTTAGTAGAAAATTATACCATCCCTAAAAAACATGAAAAATACCCAAAATGTGAAAAAAAAACAGTAATTTTTCTTTCCACTAAATTTAAAATATAATTATTTTTTTACCAGAATTATTTTCAATTGATCTTTTACACTATCTTGATTAAAAAATTGAAATTGCTCTAAAGCTAACCCATTTAATGTTAATGGCCACATGGTTTATCATGAAATGCAAAATCACCATAACCCAAATAATATTAATATAATAATGAAGAAGGAAGTAAATGACACATGATAGTGAAACTATCAGAAGAAAAACAAGAAAAAAGGTTCTCAACATGAAATATAGGATATTGAATCAATTTCACAATGAGATTCTACAAAAGTAGAGGTTGCACCCAATGAATAATATTCGGTGAATATTCAGTGAATATTTGGTTAATTGGATATTTGATTTTTTTATTGAATGATTGACCAAATATAATAAATTAAAAATGAACATTCAATGAATAACTGATGATCAATATTTTGTGCAACTGAATCAAAATAAAATTTTCTCACATCAAATAAATTCATCTATTTAAAATGGAAGAGCCTTCACTCATTATAATAGGAGAAAGTAATAATACAATAATGAGAAGAGAGGAGTCTTCTGGTGCTTTAAATTATTATTGGAAATCTCCAACAGCAGAAGAATTATTAGTTTGTGTCCTTGATCCAAGAACCAAAAAAATCAAATTTTCATCTCAAACTATACAAGGACAAACATTTACACTTTTAAAAACTAAATTTATGGAATTTTCTCAAATTGAACCACAAATATCTACTCCTGACAATTCTATACCAAAAAAAATTATTAAATCAAATAAAATATATAAACCAACATTATTGGAATCTACTTTTGAT